AGGCTCTGCCGTATCTCTGGTCCCCTCCACCTTCCCTGCGTGTTTGCTGAGGCAGCAGAGGCATTTAACAAGGGGTTATTTTCTAGGCAACTCTCCCCTACCTCTTCTCTCTGCTCCCCCCCCACCTTCACTTAGCTTCCCTGTTTCCACCAACTTCTTGTTTTTACATGATGCCGGTGTAACTTTGCAGGGGTGAAGGCCTGGCTCTGCTTCCCTGGGCAAACAAACTGCCCAAAAGCCTGGACTGGCTGCAAGCTGCAGAAAACCCTGCGCCCAGCCCGGGGCGGACGTTTGCAGTCCAGTTACAAAAGAACAGTGCTTGCTTTAAGCTAATCCCCCCGCTTTGGCTAACGAAGGACCTCCGCTGGCCAGGCAGGACCTATCGCAGCATGGAGAATGACATCATTTGGAAAAAGGGCTGCTGCGCAAGGCTGCCAGTGATTGTGCAGCATCCCTCCCCTCTCACAGGGGGAGGCCACTCCAGCTCGGCGTGCGCAGGCACTGCTTTATAAATCAGAATAATTTTAGTTACCACAGAAGTTGTAACTCGAGGGAATGCAGAACGAGGAGACACGTGTGACCCCCTTCTCTGGCAAGCTGCAATAATGATATAATGCCATAAATCCTGTGATTTGTTCTTTAAGCTCTGTCACCTAGAGATTCGTTTCCTCTTAACGCACGCATTGTTTTTACTTGCCCTAATTTGCCTTTTACAAATAATGGCAAGAAATGCCGGTACCAAGAAAGCACAACTGGTGTGATGCTGCATGCAGGCTCACCCACGTGCTGCTTGTGATCGGCGCAAGGAGCCGTGGAGAAATAAAATGCAAGATGACTGGGCTGCTTTGTGAAACCTTCCAGCTCAGTAATGCGGAAACGCTGTCAGGCGCCCTGCGCTCTGAAACCAGCACACGACTCTCAGCATTGCCATTCTGCCCGTTTCTTCCCTTACGGACGCGGTTATAGTAAACGACAGCTAAGCACAGACGTCTCCCTGGCATACCGTCAGGCAGCCTTGCTGGAGGAAATTTTTTTCCCCCCTGCAAGCTGCCAAGGTGGACTCCTTAGCTCCTGCGATAGACTGAATGAGACTGCAGTTCCCCCATCAGTTTCATAATACTCAGAAAGCATCCATTTACATCATTGTGTGCAGTGCAGGACAGCAGCTGCCAGGAAATTTGAAACTATTTTGATTCCAGTTGACTAGAACAGCAGCAATTGAATTTGCTGGTATCGCTATAGATAAACTGATGATCTGTGCATTTTATTTCTTTGACCAATGGGTAACTGCTGGAGCTACAGTAACCTCTGTGAGTAAGGAGACTGTTCAAGCAAATATATCTAATTTCTCGAGCTAGCTTATATATATATATATACTGTATAGAGAGAGACACTCACACCATTCTTTTGTAAAATGTAGCTGTAAACAAAATGTCTGTCTATGCTTGTAACTTGTGTTTTGCTTCCTAGAATTTCCTTTTATTATGCTGTAGACAAGCTTGCTTGACATGGAATGGTTATTTACCTATGAATATCATATCTATGCCTGATTTAAGTCATGAATTCTTTCAACGTCTAGTCATCAGAAAGGCTGCCAACTGCTGTTAGATTATATTTGCCCGGTCTCAGTTTTCTCGCCACTCACCCCCTTTCTATTTTAGCTTTTTCTCTCTCCGCTTAATTATTTTCTCTTTTTTTTTTTTTTTTTGCTTTGTTGAAAGAAGCCACCTTCAATGCAAAGTAGAAATTGGTGTTACCTGAGAGTGTGTGTCCTTTCTTTGTTTGTTTGGTGATGGGTATGTTTTTTCCCTGCTCATCTTCAGTGCGGTCCTTAAATTTTGTTGTTGCCTTTCTAGCCTTGTTTGTAATGCAGTCATATTGGGGGATGGGGTTGGACAGGATATGCCAGTAGCTGCAGCAAGACATGATGCTGTGGTGGTGGACGGGAATAAGGGAGGAGTTTCCCTTAAAGAGCTCCAGCTCCTCTAAGCTCTGGTACCTGAAATAGCTCTCTGAGCAAAGGGAAAGGCTTTGCACGTTTTAGGAGCGGGGGGCAATTGGTGGTGGCTTACCACAAGGAGTGGAGACCTCGGCGGTCATGTGCATGGTGGTGCCTAACGTAATGAGGGACAGACTGCTGCTTTGGTGCAATATGTGAATTTTTTTTAATCAGGTGGTGAATTAGGCAATATTCCTGCAGGATGCCATGAAGGGGAGAATCCCGCTGACTTGTTGCCCTTCCAGAGTAGGGAAGAAAAGGCCTTAAATTTCTGCCATGAAAGTGCTCCTCTCTTGCCCAGGTGAAACATTGCTCGCAAGCGTGGCAGAGAGGAGTACCTGTGTGCACGCTCCCTCCTCCTGCATGTCTCTCTGTGCCCACATATGCGGGTATGTGCTCTGTACGTGTACCTCTTCTGGAGTCTGCCGGGCTTGCCAGAGGGTAAAGTTTGCTTGGGATGAAGTTCAGGAGGAGAAGTAAATCAGAAACTTGCTCGGGGATTGCTTACCGCCATCAGCAGCGGCCATCGGCGTCAGACGGGGACGCGCAGCAGTGCATTTAGCATCCACCGCCAGAAATAAGGCTGCCTCTGTTTCCCTCATGTCGGTTCAGAAGCTAAGATAGCAATTAGCAGAGACGAGCCTGGCCCCTTGGAAGGGTCTGTGTGCGGTGCCTTGTCAGGGCTTGGCCTCCAGCGCCCGTTGGCTGCATCCCAGCCCTATGGGGAGTCGGGGGGGCAATGCTCCGGGCTTCCTTCCAGCCAGGCGGGGTGCGTGGGCTGGAGGGAGGCATGGGGGGTCCCAGCTCCTGGGGCACAATGCATTGCCTTCCTTCAGGATGCGGCCAGACCGTGCAGCCCAGGCAGCGGCATGGCCAAGCGCTGCCCCGTGATGCTCGGGGCATGAGGCTATCCCAGCTGGGGCACCTCCCGCTTGCAGGTCTGCAAGCTGAGAGTTGCTGTAGGTGGGGCTGTGTCCACCGAGAAGAGTTTACTTTAGCATCTATAGTGACGGGCTCCCTATCGGCAGTTCTTCTCTCTTAAAAAATCCCATCTCTGGACACGTGCTGAGAGAGCAGCAAGCACTAATGCAGCTGCATTAGAGCAGACCAGGGCTGCGGGGTGGAGAGCCGGGGTCTTTTGCTGGCTTGGGCTGGTCCCGGTGCAGGTGTAGGGACATTGCAGCCACACAGCATCGTTCTCATCTGTGAGTCTGTCCTGATGGAAATGTGTCCCAATGGCAATCTGGCACCTGTGCCAGGAAGTGGGTGGGCTTGGGATGCACCCAAACACTGCATGGCTGAATTGTGTGCAAAGGAGTTGTTGTCTGGGGCTTTGAGCACTTGGAAAAAGCACCGTGCCTGGAAACACTCATGTGGGGAGAGGGACCTCGCTCTCTTCTTCAGACTCTCCCAGTGCACCCACACCTGTGTGTTGGAAATCCTGCCATGAAGTCAGGCTGGTGATGCAGAAGTGGACAGGGCATCCATGGTCCTCACAGCTCTGGGGGACCTTGCAGCAGAGAAAGGGTCCCTGCTTGTCCAGTTGCTGTCCTCAACAGCAACCAAGTCATCTAGGTGAAACCTGACCTACTAAAGTTTTATTATGGAGTGATTAAATCAACAACGTGGAGATATCTGGAGAACCTACTGGGGAAGAGTCTGTGGTTTGGCATGGTCCGAGTCTGTCACTTTGATCCTGCACCACACACAATGTGCGGTATTTACCCTGTGGCCAGATATACTGAATAGTGAGCTGGCAGGTGTGAGCTGCTGATCGTCTTTACAAACCACTGGCAGATAGATAGCCACATTAGTGCGGTGCTGAGCTTGTGTTAAATTATCCTCCTTTTCACCTTGAACTCAGCCTATCATTAACCACATGGCTTCCTCCTTGGAAATGGCTTGTGGCCAGCCAGCTCGGAGCGGAGATGGGGATCGGTTTGCAACGCAGCACCTAGAGATGCACCTTGAGCGGGGCAAAGCGTCCGAATGCAAGTTGGTGTCTGGTTTCAGAGCTGTCAGCCCTAACATTTTTCAAAGTAGGTGTTCGGGTCTGTCCCCCCTGTTTGTTTGAAAGCACTTTTATACTCCAGGTCAGTTTTTTCCAGAAGGGTGCAGCGAATGCAGCTGTTGCTGTTTATTTTTTTTCAAAAGCTCAGTTCCTCCTTGGGACGTAATACAAGGTGGCCAAGTATCTGTCATTGTGTCATCTGTGAGGTCCCTCTGAGGACAGCTGGGTCTCTGTTACCCCACAACAATGGGAGCCACTGGGTGCTCAGCGCTTGGAAAATGGGACCATCCGTTTTCGCTCCTGTTTCTTTACATCAGTTGGAAAAGCAGCACGAGGAGGGGAAGGGTAGCAAGCTTTTTGTGCAGTGGTGAATTTGCTGCAACAGAAAATACAAACTGCTTGGTATGTGTACATCACTGCAACACAACCTTCAGTTACCTGAGTTGTTAAAGGGAGAGGGTAGTGCTGGCAGAAAGTTGAATTGCTCATTAATTGCTTTGTAATTTAGCTAATTGGTTTTGTCAAGGCTGTGGAATATACGGGGTGTGGCTGCCTATCTTCCCAGTGTTTCATCTTTACAAGTGAAAATGACCTAAAACATTTATTTTAAATAAACCCAGCATGTATGGCGCAGGATGTGGATGGATGTCAGACCTCTGAATATCTGCTTTCTTCAGCCTTTGCGCCTGGCCTGTGGCCTCAGAATGTTCATGGGCCACTGGGACCCTTTCTGAAGTGTAGCAGACATTTCTGGCATTCCTTCCTCAGCAGTGCGCACTCCCAAAGTAGGGCTGCCCAAAAACTCCTATGTAAAAGGACCAGCTCTGGATAACTGCAGTATGAGAGCGTGCAGAAGTGAGTTAAACCGAACGGTATTTTCCCTGCAGGGGAGAGCATAGTTACTCTGCTAGGAGAGGGCTGGGAAGGGAGGTCAGGCTTTTTGCTTATGCACGCGGTAGATAAACCCACGCTCTCTTTTTTTCTTTGCAGGTAGTGGCCATGGAAGCAGCACTTTGATCCCTCATACCATCATCAATGAGTTTCCAGAGTACGGCACCGTAGAGCCAAGCGGAGACACGCCGAGGGCTTCATCGCCGCGCCAGGCAGAGCCTGTGACACGCAGTCCAGAAAGACGGGACGGTCACCACCGGGTACCTGGCAGGCCCCTTCCTCAGCGTGCGGCTCCTGCAGACAATTCGAGACCTGACGCTGGGGCAACGCAGCTGCGCGCCCCAGAAGGAGGTTGGCAACCTGCAGGTAACCTGCCAGAGATTATGAAAATCTCTCAACGGCTGGAAGCAACAAAGGTGCAAGAGAGAGCAAATACTTCTCTTGATTCAGAGACACAAATGGAAAAAAAGAGCGTTACTGGCAGCCAAAATGTGCAGGCAGCCAGAGAACCAGTTCCAGCAGGCCAAGAAAAACCCTCAGACATGCCTCTTCCATCTGAGCGAACAGCTGAGGAAAAAATGCATTTGATCGTAGAGAAAGATCTGGCTGCAATATGGACCGGAGAAAAGCAGTCCGAGTCCTTGCAAGCCATCAGTAATAAAGCCGAGGAGGTCCACGCAGCGCAGAAGACAAGCTGTCATAGACCATCTGTGACAAACCTGGAAGCAGCCAGCAGAGTGGAGGGGTGGGCGCATTTTGAGGAGTTTTCAGCGTACAGTCAAGGCAAAATGCAAATGGGTCCTGAGAGGAGGCTCTCTAAAGAGGCAGCTGTGAGCAAACATGTAGAATTTCAAGGGGTGGAGATTTTATGGCTGCAAAAAGCCGAGGAGCAGAGAAGAAAGAAGCACTCACTCCTGGAGGCTGTGTCCGTGGAGAGGAAGGCGTTCCCCAAAACGTCCAGCCACCCCATGCCACCGACGGTCTCCCCAGGCTTGGTCTCGTCGCCGGACAGTGCTTGGAGCGAGGTCTGTGGGGACCCGAGGCTGGGACCTGCTGCCTCTGGAGCCACTCCTCTGGCGCTGCTCGATGAAAGCGGGGAGGATGAAGTTTTTGTGAAGGACAAGAAGAACCGTGGCGAGGAGGAGACGGCTGTGCTAGCGAGAGGCCAGGGCAGGTGAGATGGCGCTTGGGAGGGCACACGGGGCAGGCGGGGTTTCTCTCGTCCCAAGCACCGTGGCTTGTGCCTACCCCTTTAGGAGCTAATGACAAACAACGAATGCTTGTCTGCTGCCTGCGTGTGGTGGCAATGGTAGCAGTTCATGCCTGGTGGTGGCTAGTGCTTGATGTTGGGACTGAACCCCATCCGCACCACCTTGCTGAAGTTTGAAGTCCATCTCAGGTTTGGAAACGTAAAGATGTCTCTTGCTGTTCACAGAGTAATGGCTGTGTGACGAAGCATCCGTAGCAGGTGTAGTTGGGATCTGGACATGGCATGTAATTAAATTCAGGCAGCACGCAGGCCTGGCCGTATGCGCCTGGCCAGATTTTCTGGTTTCGGGCAGAGTCGTCCAAGAACAGTGCGAGCACCTCTGAGAGGTTGGATAATGAAGATGTTTTACCAGGGTCTCATATGTTATGGGAGGGTAAATGCTGCGATGTGCTTTCTATATTATCTATCTATCTGTGTTTATATAATTGTAGCTGTATGTGTTGCAAAAATTGTGCGCTGCTTTTTACAAGAGCATCCCAATTTGCTCGCTTTTCTTTCCTGATGCACATCTGTAACAAAGCAAAGGGTCCCACCGGCGCGCTCTGAGCGAACCCTGCCCGCTCTGACCTGGCAGGGTGTTTGCTGCTGAAACAACAGGATCTCAGCAAGGGCGGCACTCCTGCCTCTGCGCCTCGGGATCCGCGGAGTTTTGCTCTGGCTAGTGTGTGGGATCGCTCAGGCGGGCAGCCCTGACGCCTGGCACGTGCCGTGAGAAGCCTTGCAGTATTTGGTGCAGCAGAGAAGAAAACTCTCTGCAGGGGAATGCTACACCTTCCCCTGTGCATCCGCAAGCAGGCCGAGTCTTTCCCCGTCAAATCTGGTTCTCCCGGCTCCAGGTTTTTAATTGTATTTGCTTCTCTTTGCGTTTTGGAGGGATTTCCTCCAGCCTTTCGCTGAAGCCCTAGGACTGCAGAGCCAGCAAGCTGTCCTCTGGAGGCAGAGGCCCCGTCCGAGTGCAGATCTCCAACCTGTGCAGCCTCTGGCATGGCAGACTTTATGCATTTGTGAGTGGTGTTCTCCTTTGCACACAAGCAGCTGATGTTATCTGTTAGGCAATATTAGGCTTTCCCCCCCACCCCCCTCTTTACCCAGAAAATTGTTTCTTTTTATGTCCTCAGAGAGGGAGACGGTGCCAATCATGAACAGAGGTGGTGCAAGGAGAAACTAGCATTTTACCTGCAGTGTCCTCTCCTGCATGAAGCCACGTTGACCTTTCTGTTCACAGAGGTGGAAGGCGAGGAGGTTCACCCAGAGGTCTAAACCTTGCCCCTGAGCTGAAACGAGCTGTTTCTGATTAATTTCCAGGGTGATGGAGGCGGGAGAAGCAGCCACGGGAGGATATGAAGATGTCCTCGGGCAGAGGCACTCCGATGTCTCCACTGATCTGTACAGCTCACAGTTCGAAAACATCCTAGACAATGCATCTTTATACTACAGCGCGGAGTCACTGGAGACGTTGTACTCGGAGCCCGATAGCTACTTCAGCTTTGAGATGCCACTCACTCCCATGATCCAGCAGCGCATGAAGGAGGGCGGCCAGTTTTTAGATCGGACGTCAACCTCGGGGCAGCCAGATGTCCTGCAGCTTCCCCCTGACGGGGAGGTGGAGGGCTGCGGTGAAGGCATCACCAATGGCTTAAGGGATGTAAGCGAAACACTCTTCAGAGGAGACGTCACGGAAGTCCCTCGTTTGGAAAGGTAAAAGCAGTGGCTGAGCTTTCCGTGTGCCTGCTGATTTTTCCTCAACGTCTGTTTACTTCAGCGGACTGTTGCAGAGTGTAGTTTTGCCTCTTTCAACACCGTGTGTTTTTTTCTACACAGAATAATTTCCAGTGTGACAGAGTGAACTGCAGGAGAGAAGTGAGCCGTCCAAACCTGCAGTTCGTTAGAAAAGTGCAAATTTACTTTACGAAGGTTTTGTAGGTGATACTTGTGTCGACAAAAGGCTGGTCGGTATTGTCGCATCTCTGGGACCTGTCCCTGGAGGAGTTATTTACTGGTTACAGATGAACCTTGTTCAGCTCCAGTTATGCCTGAATTTGTTAGCAGCAATTTTGGGAACAATAGCACCCTGTGCACATGGATGAGTTGTCCAAATGCAGTTTGTGATTTGGATGTTAAAGGTGTGTCTCTGGGCATAGCTTTTCCTCTCTTGAGGTCAGCGGGCGTTTTGCCGGTTACTTCAACTGGGACGAGGTTTTGCTCCCACCACGTTCATGGAATTAGAGACTGTTAGCTGCGTCTTTCATTTGTGCACTAGTTACTGATTGAGAGAGGAGGGAGCATTGCAAAAATGTTAATAATTTCCGTCTAGGTAAAGGGAGAGATAAGAAAACCTATTAAGAGAAGAGTCATGTGAGAAGCAAAAAAACTAGGCTAAGTGGTCGGAAAATACTGTGTAATTGCAGAAACTCACTCTAGGAGCAAGCTTCCCTCATCGTGTGTTATCAAAGAGGGTGGGGAGAGTGAAAGGCAGCAACAGGCAAAGTGGGCGGCCGAACCAAAAGCTGTACTCTGCGGAGGGGTGAGGGACCTTGTGAGTGACAAAGATGCCTTGTGTCTCCATCCTCCAGGGACAGGACGTTATCTAAGAGACCTTAGGCTGTTCCCTTAGATGGGACTAGTCTGGTCTGAGCTATCCTGGGAGTCAGTGATGGAGGTCTTTTATCTGTTTCATTCCTTTTGTGCTAGCTTTGAGCAGAAGTAGTTTTGCTAACTTTATGGATTAAGGTACAGTTTGCCCTTAACAGGCAGAAGGACTTAGCAGTTTAGAATGTTTTCTCCATCAATCCTACTGGAAAAAAGGTGTTTAAATCTTGTACGATCCTGAGCTGCTTGGTGCCAGTAGGCAGTAAGTGACTGCTAATCTGCTACAACCAGTGCAGAGCCAGAAACTGAGGTCAGTCCTGGCGTTTGCAGCTCCTTAACTTGCACTGAAACTAGAGATTGCCGAAGACTGGGCAGTGGAGGACAAGCAGCACATACAGACCCCGATTCTGTTACCCTGTAGTTGCAGCATCTAGTATCTAGAAAGTACTGTCAAGTAAGGCCCACATCGGCTCATCAAGATAGAAGTTACCACGAAGACAAGGTGTGCTTAGGTAACGCTTAGAGACACATTAGGTGCCTGCCTAGTGTGGATTTCATTAGGAATTAAGTTAATTTTAGTTTAAATTTGCAGCCATAGTGATAAACCAACAGAGGATTTTTAAATTCTTCCTTTTTTCCCCCGTAATAAAAAAAGAAGAAAGAAGTGTCCCCAACAGCAGGTTTGTTAGGAAGCTCTGCTGTTGCAGTCTGCAGGGCTCTGTTAGGGACGAGCCCCGAGGGCTCGCTTTGTTAAGGTAGGTGCCGATAAAGAGTGTAGCTGCAGCAGTACAGCCAGCCACGGATGTGCCCAACAGGGTAATCCTCCGGACAATAACCTCGTTAGCCACCCCCCACCATGATATTCTAATACCATGTTGTATTGCACCAGGGTGCAGGTGACTGACAGATCGCATGTGCTATATTGTTGGTGCCAGTGATGAAGCCTGGTGTTACAGTGTGTGGGTGAGGAGCACTGTGTGCATGCTGGGGCCTGCATGGGATTTATTTGCAGAGGGGTCAGGACGGTGTGTCACTGTGATGCCCAGGTGAACCAGACATAGCTGCCTGAACCGTGGGTACTATTTCTATTTGCATGCGTGGTTTTGTTCCCTGAGGCAACCTCAGACTTGTTTTTTTGACTGAAAGTCCACACATATGATACGCGTGCGGTAGCCACTGCGGCACGT